TAGTTATCTTTTTGTTATTTATTTGAAGAAAAATGTTATATTTATAAATTTTTTGTTTAATATTATGTCTGATCGGTAATATACTCTTGAATAGAGTATTATCGATCAGACATAATCTAATTTATAAGTTTATAAAAAAAAGTTTTTCAATATAATCCAGTGTTATTTCAATCGTTCAAAATTGTGAACTATTATTTTGTTTGTGAATTTGAGAACTTTCAGCGAACCGCCCTGCTGTAATTGCGAGGATTTTTTTTTTTATATTTTCTATTTTACCTATCGTGCGTTAGTCAAGTCCCCACATGGCCTCATCTATTCTGTGAGCATATGTTCAGTGCTTTCATAATTCATAATTTCTTACTTAAAGTAATAAAAAGCGTGGTTCATCTAACATTAACTATAAAGAAGAGGGTAGAATAAATACTATTAAATAAACTATTTTTTTATTTTTATTAAGTGAATGGGTGTACGATATATCAATAAACTCATTTTGAGATATGGATCAAAATGGAGAAATGGTTTCGCTCAAATGGATAAAATAAAATGAAATTCCATAAGAGTTTAGCTGAAGTTAGTGCAAACATAACATTAATAATGAAATAGTGAACAATAGGAAAAGGACAAGGCTTGCCAGTTGCCACCCTTTCAGTCAGATAGTGATATATAGTTACAAGTGTTGCATATCTAGCATATAAAACAAATAACGAGATATAATTATATGTGTTGGGTTTATATCCGAGAATGGTGTTCATATAATTTTGCTTGTCACATACATAGATTTTGTAAGGTAGCATTCTTGTGATTGTTGTTTGATGCCTTTTTTTTTTTTTTGATATAAATGGAGGGCCTAGCCCAGAAAACCTACAAAATCAAGTTATGAAAATTACCGGTTGTACGTTCTACCAGCAATCTCAAACAAAAATGATTCCAAATGGAACCTATGTTAGAAGGGGGAGAGGAAAACAACCTCATCTCTTCACTCTCACAACATAAACCAAGTTTAGCTAAAATGTCAGCAACCTCATTCTGCTCTCTAGGAACAAAAACAACTTGAACCTGATCAAAACCCGCAACAGTGTTTTTGATTGATCCAATTAAGCTAGACAGTCCACAAGTTACGGGTTCAGCCTCAAGACAAGAGATGGCTTCCTTACTATCACAACCAATCCATACCTTGTCAATTGCTAGCTTTTCAGCAAGATTAAGGCCATACCAAATCCCCCTAAGTTTAGCTTCCAAAGGAGAGCAAGTGCCTATGTGTTGGGAGAAACCACTCAACAAGGTGCCATTTGAGGAGCACACCACCCCACCACAAGCTCCTATCCCAGATGCCTGCATAACAGCCCCATCCACAAAAACCATAGTATCATTTAGAACCTTTCCTTGATCAGCTCCACCCGATAAACATACAGACTCTGAACCAGCTGAAAAAGGATCAGCACCACCAATCCTCTTCATACCTTCTAGATACTGCAGAATTCTAAGAATTGGATCCTGTGGTCTAGTAAATGAAGCATCGTGAACTATGGAATTTCTCCACTGCCATAGGTACCAACAGGTTACAAAAAAAATTTCCTTCCAAGAATTCCACAAATGGGAGAAAAAAGGTTTAAGAAGATTAATTCTAAACCATTCTCTACCATCTGTTGAAAAGAAACTAGCTGGGATTTGACCTCCAAACCACCTTCTCCAAATATTCCTAGCTATTGTGCAGTCTCTAAGGGTGTGTAGTACAGATTCATGTTCCAGTCCACAAGAAGGACAAGTTATTTCCCCTCCACTCCAATGACATGTAATGCTTCTAACAGGCAGCCTATTCAGGCAAGCTAACCACAGAAAAACAGCAATCCTGAAAGGGCCCCTTCAATTCCAAATAACTGGCCAGATTCTGTCTTTATCAGAATTACTGCTTATCAAGTGATTATAAGCATTTTTAACTATAGATTTACCTGGGCTCAGCACCTTCCAGTTCAACCAATCCTCTGAGTTGCCTGGTTTTGGAGGAGCAATATTACTCAGCCTAATGCAGGTATGAGTATCCAAATGCTTGATCAGGTACTCCCACTTCCAGTCTTCAGTGCTGGGATCCACAGCATCCCACACACTAAGATCCATATCTGCCAAAGGAGGCTTGAAGGATGCCAGCTCAAACAAAGTATTCTGCCAACCTCCCCAGCAATCTGTCCAGAACTTCACAGACTTACCATCCATAACTACCCACTCTAGATGACAAGATATCTTAGAGTAAGCCAAGCAAATGCTCTTCCACAAAGGAGAGTCACAGGGTTTAGCTATCAGAATTCGGTTAGGATTTTGCTTCCTCCCATATTTTCATAGCAACACCCGAACCCAAAGGCTATTTTGACCTGTTATAAGATTCCACGACAGCTTCTGTATGAAGGCCTCATTCTGAATTTTTAAATTAATAATGCCAAGCCCTCCACATTCCTTAGGTTGGCACATAGTCTCCCATGCAACATAATGGGCTCTCCTTTTGTCCTCTTGATCACCCCAAATGAAGTTCCTCTGCAACCTTTCAATTTCCTGGCACACATGAGTGGGGATAGTATTATTCTGCATATGGAAACTAGGAATAGCAGAAATCACACTTCTAGCTAATGTAATTCTGCCTGCCATTGATAGGCACTTAGATTTCCAACCTTGCAGCTTATTCTGGACCCTAGATATAACCTCAACATAATGATCCTTTTTAATTCTCCCATGTCTCAACATAGACCCCAGATATTTGCCTAGATTGTCTACCTTCTTGAAACCACTCACATTAGTAATGGAACTCCTAACATCCAGAGGAGTATTCTTAGAGAAATAGATACAAGATTTCTCTATGCTAACACTTTGTCCAGACATCTTTGAGAACTTATCCAGACATTGGGAGATGCAACTAAGCTGACTTAAAGAAGCCTCAGCAAAGATGATAATGTCATTAGCAATCATAATGTGTGATAAAGGAGGGCCATATTTCCCCACTTTAATTGGCAGCCAGTTACCCTCATCCACCTCATCCAGGATTAAATGTGATAGCTTCTCCATGCATAGGACAAATAGATAAGGGGAAAGAGGATCCCCTTGTCTAATTCCCCCCTGAGAATGAAAACTAGGAGTTCTAGCCCCATTCCAAAGGACCTCCAAGACAGGACTAGAGACACACCCCATGACAGCTTCAATTAGTTCACCAGGAAACTTCAAGTCTTCTAGAACCGATCTGATGAATTTCCAGCTAAGTTTGTCATAAGCTTTTTCTAAGTCTATTTTAATAGATAAGAATTGCTTCTTTCCCTGCATTCTGTGCATAGAGTGTATGAGCTCCTGAACAATAATAATATTGTCCTGGATATTTCTCTTAGGAACAAAGCTGGCTTGGTTTGGGGATATAAGCTCCACAAGCAGGGGCTTTATTTTGTTAGCCAGAATCTTACTAAGACCTTTATATATAGTGTTACACAGAGCTATAGGTCTGAATTGCTTCATCAAACAAGGTCTCTCAACTTTGGGGATAAGCACAATCAAGGTGTGATTCAGCTTGCCAATCTGGTTAGGATTATGTAAAAAGAATTGCATGCTTCTGAAGACTTGATCATGAAGAAGCTCCCAATTCTTTTGATAGAACAAAGCTGGAAACCCATCTTCACCAGGGGCTTTTAACGCTGGCATTTGAAAGAAGGCTCTCTTCACTTCCTCAGGGGAAATGTTTAAGTCCAGATTACAATTCAGACCCTCCCTAATATCAGGCCAGGATTTGATAGTAGGGAACCACACAGCTTCTTCAGAATTCTCTGTAAAAAGATTCTGGAAAAAATCTCTGGCCAACTTGATGAGTTCTTCCTCTCCAGCTACCCAATGCCCCATACCATCCTGAAGCTTCAGGATTTTATTTCTTTTCCTTCTGACAATAGTACTTGCGTGATAAAACCTTGTATTTCTGTCGCCATCCCTTATCCAATCCCCTCTAGACTTTTGGAACCAAATCTGTTCTTCCTGGTCAAGGATCTCAGATAGCTCTTTCTTCAGATCAGCTTCCAGCTTCTCTAGATGACTGCTACTAGCAGAATTCACAAGCTTTTGAATACCCTCCATCCTTGCAATCACTCTGTTCTTCCTATGATGGGTGAATCCAAAGACATTTTTATTCCAATCCTTCACCAGTGGCACAAAGGATTCAAGGTTATTCACCAGATCAGCTAAAGGGTTCCATTTTTCCTTCAAGAAAGATTTGAACCTGGCATCTTGCTGCCAAGCAGCCAGGAATCTGAATGGCCTTTCCCTCCAGTCACTTTCCTCTTTAGACATTCTAACCAAAATTGGACAATGGTCAGAAAACAGTCTAGGGAGGACAAGGACGTCAGCATCTTCATAGGAGGCTCTCCAATCTTCATTACCAACTGCTCTATCTAGCCTCTTAAAAACTCTGTTCAAGTGAAGGAACTTTGGGCCTTTCCAAGTAAACCTGTTACCACCCCCTCCCAAGTCCATCACCCCACAAGCATTGAGGACATTGACAAATCTATTGCACCTATTCAAATCAACAGGCCCTCCTCCTCTTTTTTCTGAGACCATTGCTATCTCATTAAAGTCTCCAGTTAAGAGCCAAGGGGCATTCATAGTCCTTCCTATGTGCTTCAACTCCTCCCAAAGGACCTGCCTAGTATCTTCCTGGGGACTTGCATAAACAGCCGTCCAGAAAAACCCCCTCCTTTCAGGAAATTCAACCCAGCAATGCATATATTGATCATGTTTATTAATGAGAGAGACTTTAACCTCTCTATTATTCCACCAAATCCAGATACCTCCAGCAAAACCATGAGCATCTGCAATCAAATGATTAGAGAAACCTAGTCTACGAATTATATTAGTGGCTTTATTACCACTCACCCGCGGCTCTAAAATAGCAGCTAAACTAACATCATGTTTCCTACAAAATCTGTTAAAGGTACTTTTAAAATGCTTTTTAGCAGCACCTCTACAATTCCAGGTAATTATGTTCATCGTGAATTTTGAAAAGGATGCAAGATTTCTAAGTTCTTGCTACTTATATCATTATTCACAAAACCTGATTCTCTTAGGATAGCAATTTCTTCCTCACTAATTACCTCCTTATCAACATGCATAGATGAGCTACTTGGGATATCCTCAGCAGATACAAAATCCATACCTTCCTTATTCTCATCCACCTTGTGAAATTCCTTCATACCCTGATCATGAGGATCTTGATCTTCCACTGTCTCCTCCCTATTTAAGCTGACCTTTGCTGACTTCTTGAGCTCAGAATTAGCTACCTCCTTGGAGCAATCACCCATCATCATCAAATCTCCCCACCTAGTACCTTTCTGTTGATCCAGCTTAACCTGATGAACTATTCCAGCTCCACTACTGCCCTTCTTATTCTTTGATCTACTGCCTGAAGCACTCACAGCGAGCACTGGTCTGTTTGCACCTTTTCCTTTGGCATTCTGGTTCTTCGAAGCAAGATTCTTATTAATTGACATAGCAGGCTTACCACCAGGGGCCTTTTTCAAAGTATAATCACGCACTTAGATTTTGGAAGAAAGAGAATATTTTGACGTGAAAGAAAAATTTTAAAAAAAAGCTCTAATTTAAATTTTTTCAAAAAATGTAAAATAGAAATGGTGTGAAACACAATAAGTTCATGTGTTTTAAAAAAGAGGAGAATAAAAAAATATTATCTTGTTTTTTGTAATAATATTATGGGTTCAATACATCTCCTGTTAAGTTGTATCTTTTATGCGGAGTCTGATGTCACTGGAGAGAGAAAAAAATGTTGATGGATTCCACCTAAAATTTAAGTTTGTAGAAAAAAATTTCTTTTCAAGTTAAACTAATGAATTACCCGTGCGATGCTTAGAGGGAAAAGAACAAAATTGTTGTCACCATCATTGGTTAATCATCGCACCGGTAAATTAACACCTTCATCTTGCTATCAAACTCAGAATAGTACAATGGTGGAGATATAAACATGAAGGAACAAAAAAGCAAACCTGTTACTTGAGAAATATCTGAAATAAAAAAGAATTGTCTTGCTACTTTGTGCTATTAATTTTGAACTTGAAAAGGCTACAACATTCACGCAGAAAATTAACGCAAATTTTAAATAAAAAATTTAAATAAAAATTTGTAGGACAAAACATGTAATTGTATCATGTAACATACAAAAAATAATTAGACACTGTTAAACAATTATTTACACAAATTTAAGTGTCAATGACTAACCTGCACCGGTACTTCAAAAGTGATAAAAATTCATTCTGCTTAAGTGTGAACACAAAGTCAAGGTTGAAAGGGTTAATTCAGAACAACTTGTTCCAAATCAAAACTACTTACATGTTATTTTTCTAAACTACTTGTTCCAAATAAAAAGTTGCTTCCTTATAAAAGAAATCATATGGTCCTTCAAACATAAAATATAAGATTTATCGAATAATACAAAGATGCATCACAAAATATAATTCAAAACCATCGAAAAACAACTTTTACGTTACAAAAAAAAAAATTGACAACATAGTTTAACCATAAACTACCAACAACACCAATGAAATTAAACCTAACATATTACAAGTGGGTTGCACACAGAGAGAGAAAATCTGGTTCGTTTGTCTAGTAAAAGTTAACACAAATTGCAAAAATATATCGTTGCATTTTATTTAAATAATCAGTCAACACTATGAGGTATCTAACTCCATCTTTTTGCACATGTAGCATGTGACAACGGCTAGGGGTGTTCATCAACTGATCCAAACCGATTCAAACCGCGGTGACCGAACCGAAAAACCAATAACCCAATAAACCGAAAACCGAAAAACCGAAACCGATTAAAAACCGCAAATTTTAATTGGATTGGATCGGTTTTTGATGGGTTGATGAAAACCGATCCAATCCAAACCGGTCCAATATATTAATTTTTTTCTACTTACTTGGGTATTTCCCTAATCATAGCCTAAAAATTTCTAAACCCAAGACTCATTAACCCATCAACTAAACCCAAGAAAAAATCTAGTCATATGCTATCAACAAAATTTTATCTTTGTAGAGCTTCATATCTCATTGCCAAAATTAAAAAAATTATATTATAGTTTACTAATGTTTTTGTATTTCAAAAAAAAAATTACAAAGCCAATATATACAAAAGATGTTATTTGCACAATAATCATGAAATAAATTTTAGGATTTTCAAAAAATCGAAAACCGATCCAATCCAAACTGAAAAAAATTGGATCGGATCGGATCGGATTTGAAAAAAAATCAAAACCGAATGGATGATTATATGATCAAACCGAAGGGATTGGATTAGATAATTTTTGCTTCCAAAACCAATCCAATCCAGACCGTGAACACCCCTAATAACGGCCAATCAAATTCAGAGAATCACGCAATACATGAAGAAGAAAAATTTAAAAGTTGTGCTTGACATCAAGGTAATAATGAAGGTGGTCCAACCTGCACTTGCAAAAGTGATAAAATCCATTCTACGATGCATTTTTGATCCTTACTCCTGATGAAAATAAATGATAAACATTCTATAAATAAAAGTGTCAACTAAATAAGCATGTATATACCATGCATAAATGTGCAGTCAAGTCGTATAACTACAAACTGCAATCAACAGTGTGCTATTTGTAAATCCACACAGTACACATAAATGCATACCAACTGCATATTGATTTTACAATGATGACTATCAAAGGGAGGACAATACCTTTGGCATGTATAAATCTATTGTCTCGCCATATTTTTCAAAATGACTGTGCGGAGAAAAAATTAAATTTTGTTTAGATGCTTGTTTCTGAAATATTTACAGCAGTAAATTCAATGATCTTAGCCACACAAAGACGTGTTTATTAGACACTAAATATATATATAAAATACGTGTTGCCAGGCTAACTCGTCTATTTGCCAGCAGGGAAGGCCAGCCCGTCGGCCCGAGCCCATTTTGCCACATATAATTGTCAGCATTTTATATCTGCATGTAATGAGTTTTTATATTTATCCAAGAGAAAAAGGTTCCTATAGTTGCGTCTAGATAACTATCTATCTATGTTTTCTATAGTTAGAAAATAAACATAAGAATGGATAAAAAAAAAAGTGTTGGCTGCGAGGGCTGACCCATTTTGTCACTTCTAACTTTCAGCAATTTATATCAGCATGTAATAGATTTTTATATTTATCCACAAAAAAGGTTCTTATAGTTGTGTCTAGATTGCTATTTATCTATGTTTTCTATACTTAGACAATAAACATAAGAACAGATATAAAAAAAAAGTGTTTGCGAGCATGGGTGGGTCATCCCTCCGGGCCGAGCCCATTTTGCCACCTCTAACTAACAGTATTTTATACAAGCATGTAATAGGTTTTTATGTCTATCCACACAAAAAAGGTTCTTATAGTTGTGTCTAAATTACTGTATATTTATGTTTTCTATATTTAGATAGTAAACATAAGAAAAAAATGTATTGGCAGGCAGGGTTTATCACCTCTAAGTGTCAACATTTTATATAAGCATGTAATATATTTTTATATCTATCCACACAAAAATATTCTTTTAGTTGCATTTATATTACTATCTGTATATATTTTCTGTAGTTAGACAATAAACATAAGGAAAAAAAATATGTTGGTAGGCTAACCTGCCCATTTAGCCAGCGGGGTAGGCCGACCCTCCGGGCCTTGCCTATTTTGCCACCTCCTGTCAGCATTTTATATAAACATGTAATAGCATTTAATATTACTCATTTTTTCAAACGATTAGAAGTTAAAAAAATTAGAAGTTATTTTTTAAAATTTTTAGAAAATGTTAAAGCTACTTTTTATAGGTTTTAGTTTTTATGAAAAAATTATCTAATTATTATAAGCTTCTAAACATATTTTTTTAATTAAAAACCACCTTTTTAAAGGAAACTATGCAATAGGTTGGAATTTGGAAACATGTAATCATAAATAGCATTAAAACATTATTTCAGTAAAACTTATTTTTTAAAGCTTCTAACAAAATAATTTTTGTTTGTTTAATTTTTCACAGCAACGAAATTAATTAATCATAATAGGTATAATAATTAATCCCAATAGACATAATATTAATAAATATTATTAATATGCTTAACAATTTTCCATGCAGAAAGTAAGAGAAACATTGAATGTTACTCTTTTCTCACCTATCAAGTTCGAAATTCAAATTTAAAAAGTTTGAATTTTAAATATTAAATATTTTCCACCCAATAGACATAATAATAAATATTATTAATAGGCTTAACAATTTTTCATGTAGAAAGTAGTGAAAAATATTGAATGCTAAACTCTTTTCCCACCTATCAAGTTCAAAATTCAAATTTAAAAAATTACTAAAAGAGGAAATGTTGAAAATGGTTTCAAGTATGAACAGAAAGTGGATATTGAAGGAAATAACGACATATCAACAAACTTTTCAAAGAATTGTTTTATCACACAGACAAGATTGTAACACTACATTATGATATATTATTCTTTTATCATACAGACCCTCCATATTAAGAACCAATAGAATATTGAGATGAATATTGACATAATATACGTTTGTTTTTTTAAAAATTGGTAATAAAAATAATGGTAAACTTTTTCTTATGCAACATGAAAGTGAATTTTTTTCCTGCACTAACATAGGAAATCATGCCTTTTTTTTCTTCTATTTTATTTTATAAAATGACGTGACCCATTGTTTCTTTGTGTCAGCAGGAAATTTGACAATTTTTCTGTAAAAGGAGAAAAACAAATCTCTAAAAATAAACTATTTTAATACTTTTTCTCTCTATAAGTTCTTACATTTTATTTTGGTAAAATTTTATATAAATTTCTCTGAGATTATTTGTTCCAAAAAAATCACAATCACTGACTTTCCTATTAGCTGTTGACACTTCGCAATTTCTTTTTTATATTATTAAGTATGTATAAAATTTAATGAGTTGGATGTATAATTCTTTAAAACAAAGACTATAACTATTAAAAAAATATCTAATTTTATTTTTTTTACATGACATAATCTTGCTAATTTATAATTGTACCAATTTTCTTTTCGAGATATCCTAATATGCATTTCTTGTTTACTTGAGTGAATATTAGTAAAGTATACTCTGAGTGAATTTTTAAAATAAACAATTTTCTTTATATATCAGTTACCAAAAAATCATTTTGTTCTATGTCCCTATTTTTGTAGAATTTTATATTTCTAGATTTTGAAAATTATGAGAAAAAATAATATTTGATAAACCAATTTTTTTGTGGTTTATTTGATAACACAATTTGTTTTCATTTCTTATGAGAGATTATGTATATTTAATAATAATATATAATAAATAGTGTGTATTTAATTCTATTAATAACATTAACCAAGCATTCGCCCATAGACAACAGAATTCACATTCTCCAATCAATAAATTCACTACTCATTTAGTCTAGGATGTGGTGTAATGTTTTAGTTTGGAGAAGTATACAACTATTCAAATTTCAAACCAACTACCTAGCTTAGAAAATTGTAAAGCTTCTATT